CCCCTTCTGAAGCATTGTGGTACTAGCGGGCTCTGACTTTGACTTAGAAGCCTAGTAGGACAGGAAGCCCCTGTCAGTAGGGGAGCAAGTGTCATTCCCTCTCCCCCTGGCATGCTCTGGTTGCTGGATTAGAGGGAAAGTGAGCCCACAGACCACCTTCTCACTTAACAGAATATCTGCAGTCTTTGTGACGGGACAACCTATGTAAACCCCAAAGAGGAGCCAGTGAACACACGTACCAAGTGTTTGGCTGAGAATTAATCCTTTTTTCTTTCTCTTTCAGTGGTTGATATCACAGCAAGTATCCTTTATTGGTACCGTTCCCTTCAAGAAATGCTCCGTTTAAATAAAAAGAATATGTTACATACAATTCCCTGCTATGATGTACACCATGAGTTTAGGCCTTGCCCCATAGACCACCTGAAGAATTGCTGCTTGGACATGACTGCGTCTTCAGACAAGCAGCCTCTCCCTGGGTGCCATGCTCCTGTTTGTGCCCCAGCATCCAGCTCCACATCTGGCCAGCAGCAAGCTCAGGGATTTCTGGGGGATATGTGAACTTGGGGTTTCACATATCCTTATCTTCCTGCCAGAAAAGGGGACATGCCTGACTGGCTAACCTCTGCAATGTAAGAATCTCATACTGTATTCCTTTTAAACTGACCTTTTTGCAGCATCTGTACTTCCTTAACCGTATGTTACTAGATCCCACAGTTTGAAGATGTTAAATTTGAAGCAGCCAGTCTTTTGTCTGAATTATACTGTCAAGAGGTAAGAACCTGTGAAGGTTTCTGAAAGCAAAGTCCCTCTCCCTGTAGTGAAGGCAGTGGCTATCAGTGATCTCAGAAGTACTCGACTCTCTTTTGGCTTTTAATGCTTTCCATTACTTTTCTGCCTCCCATACCCTGGCATGGGGCACCTGTAAGTGATCACTTGCTCACGAGGGCCAGCAGAAATTTTTCCAAGACTTTCCAAAGACTGTTAGAAAACGGCTTTATTCCTAGGCTAAAGATGATTAGTTCCTGGATAAGTCCATATAGTTTATCTATTTGGTTCTTGATCTCAGATGTAGCTGAAAATCGCCTTTGAGCTAGTGTGTGTGAGGCTCCCTGGGCAGCCAAGAGTGCATGTTTCATAGCCCTGGCCTATCTCTCTTGTTGCAGAACAGGAAAGGTGGCAGTTATCATCCGATTTGACTGTTCAGGATTTTGAACTAAAGCTATTTTCAGTTTAGTTGAATGAGTTATTTTAAGGGCAATGTGAAAACTTCCCAGCCAGTGAGTCCAATAAAATATCTTTTTTCTTTTAATAAAGTAAATCAGCAACCCACAAATCCTTTGGTGAGCGTGAACAGGAGTGGCTTTCTGGCACTGCAGCTGCTGCATAAGGAATCCAGCTTGCCTGCTGTCTTCTTTTCCTCCCCAAACATGACTGTTTTCTTTCAGAATTCTGTTGATGCAGCAAAGCCGCTGCTGCGGAAAGCAATCCAGATCTCACAGCAGACCCCATACTGGCACTGCCGCCTGCTCTTCCAGCTTGCTGTGAGTACTGTGGGTAGGTGCAGGGTGGGGCCATGACCTTGGGGCACACCCACCTGCATCGTGTACAAATAAAGGTAGATTCCAGGACAAACACCCTCCACATCCTGCTGCACCAAGTGAGTGGAGACAGAGGAACAGTTCTTTAGCCTGCTCACAAGTCCCCTTCAGCTTCTGTTCTCAGCAGTAACCCCAGCATGGGCCTCTTACTCAGTGTCTGGAGTGATTGGTGGGAGTATCCCCAGCATGTCTTGGGGGGCTGACTGAGGGACTCTTGTCATTGCGTTCCCCTCCTTCATGCTGCTCCATTTGGCTTGTGTTCATTTAAATTTGGAGAGCATTTCTTGCCAGAAGCCCACCATGCTTCTATGTGCTGTGCTGAGATTCCAAGGGGCTGCCTATTGGGCAACAAATGCCCAAGTCAAGCCCTTGCAGGGCTACAGCCTCGCCTGTGCTCCCCCTGGGCCTCAGCCTCCCTTCAGCCCCATAGACATAGGTGGTACCCTGGTCCCAGCACTCTGAGATGCTGATAGAAGGGTTTCTATGGGCTGGGCCTTCCTGGCTGTAGTAACTATACCTGAAGACTCTGAGAATAGATAGGCTCCACCATGAGGGATGCCTCTTCTGTCCTAAGCACATACTCCCCTAGATTCTCTTCTCCGTGACCCAGAGTGGAGGCAGAGTAGAATTCTATACCCAAAGCAATTAATATTGATGACATAGTTTGGTTAATTTAGCTCAAAACTGACACTGAGGCCATTTTGTTGATGGGTAGGGAGGTCTAGTTTAACTTGCCAACAAAGCACTAAGAGCAGGTACTGGTTACTGTAAAGCAAGCAGTTCAGAAGCAAGGATCATTGTGCTCTCTCTCCTTTTTAGCAACTGCACACACTTGAAAAGGACCTGGTGTCAGCCTGTGACCTCCTGGGCGTGGGAGCCGAGTATGCCCGGGTGGTAGGATCCGAGTATACACGGTAGGCACCCTCTTCCCACAGTCCTTCCCTCTTACTTGGAAGGAGCTCAGCCATCTTGATCCTGGACAACACATAAAATTGGCATTCAGCATGGAACACTGGTCACCCACACAAATAGTAAGAAATGCATAGATTGTAGCACTGGTTACTTTTTGCCCTATCAGTTCATAAAGTTGGAGAGTCGGCTATGAGGATAGGGGCAGCCAGCATTCTCAGCACAATTGGCACTTTCACATTTCTAGTATCTCGAAGTAAAAAGTGCTCAGATGATTTGCTAGGTCGGTTCTCTTGGCGGTGCAGATAATGAGAGCGGCACCTGCAGAGGGCATGTGCCATCTACATGGCAGCACCTTAGGCAATTCCAGTGTCCTTTTTGGGATGCCAGGAAGCTTTTAGGTGAAAAACAGCAGACAGAATAAGTGGACATTTGTATAAAGAAGGGACATAGGTTCATGTTATGCACATAACTGCTTAGACTATCTGGAGACTTGTGCCATAGGGCTGGGAGTCAGGGGTCAGAGGCCATAGGTGCCTCACTATGTGCTCTCTGTGAAGGCTTCTGGTCTGTCTCTTCCCTTCCCCCTCCCCCCACCCCCCGCCAAGGAAAAAAATCCTCTGCACTAGTCAGACTCCAGGCAGCAGTGCTCTTACTCTGTTGTGTCATTGAGGTTCCGGAAAGTTCTATATTTCTATATCACAGAGCTGAGCTTATCCCATGTTGTTGGGACAAAACAGTCCCTAACTTCATTCTCTGAGCTCTGGACTTGCAAATGTCTCCATGGGGCCATAGGCTGTCCTCATCCCTCAGCCATCCTGCCCTGAAATAGCAACTGTAACATATTCCTGACTCTTCCTGGCCCCCTTATGCTGTAGTTGTCACTGGATCTGTGGTGACACGCCTTGCAGGACACAGAGACAGCCACACACTATGCATGTTCATGCTCAAGTATCCCTAGACAAGCTTCTGTGCCACTGGGCAGGTGGCCTAGGTAAGCTCTACCAGAGCCCAAGACCTCCAACCATTGATATAGGGCCTTCGAACAATTGCTTCCTGTGTGACAACATGGGAACCTTGATGTGAAGTTTCAAGCCTTAGATTTTAACAGTTGCACAGAGGGCAAGCAGGCCTAGAGTGTCACACTATGAGGTCACAACAACAGAGAATGGTGCAGTGACCTGAAACAGACATCTCGCAGGCTGTGTGACTGTGTGACTGCCCTCCCCACCACAGTTTCCTCACACATAAAACGGGGAGAACGGTGCCCACTTGATGGGTTTTTGGCCGCAGCACACAGGGACTCTGCCAAAGCTAGCAGGACAGAGACTAAGACGTCCAACAAACTGGAGCCTGTGGGCTATACATGACCATTGCTGTTCCTAAAGGCAGCCACTGTCTCCCAAGCTTCCTCCTCCATTGTTTTAGCTGTCTCCTGAACTTTTTAACATGTTCATTTTATTATTTTGTTGGTGATGACAGCAGCACACACATTTAGAAGTGCAGAAAGGTTTAAGAGAGAGAGTAGAAATCTGGTCTTGTTGCCTGCTGCAGGTAGAGATGGCAGGTGGTAAGGCTGTTAAGGGGGCTCCCTGGTTTCACCTCCTTAACACTCAGGAGGACCCGAGGGGCTTAGTCAGTTGAAGGAAGGGGAGGCACAGAGGGGCCACAGTGAGGCACGGATTTCAGTTCAGATGCCCAGGCCTGCCGACTCATCCCCCCGCCATGTGCTGTCCACCAATGCAGAACCCTGATAGTCTGTGTCAGCAAGAGTGAGATTGTGGGAGACATGGCATCTCGAACCCTGCCCGTCTATGCTTTCTGAGCACTCATCTATGCCTTCTGGGCTCTTGAGCCATGATGAGTGTCTAAATTAGGCCAAAAAAGAAAGACCAAACAGGACAAAGAGTAGTTTTGTAAATAAAACCAACATCATTGGGGATGGCGGGAGGTGCTGTCATCTGCTTAACCCTCCTTTGTGGAGCTCATTGGTATCTGTGAGTGTTGTAGTGTCATAGTCATTCTAGGAGGCAGCTGGGCCTCATAGACTGACTCCCCCTTTCTGTTTTCCAGGGCTCTGTTCCTGCTCAGCAAAGGGATGGTAAGTTGAGGCTGAGCTGGATGGGGCTGAGCCAGATGAGGTTGGTATGGTAGATACAAGGCTGGGCTCCTGCTCCCCGTGGTGCAGCCCTTTGGGTGCCCAGACCCTTAAGTACAACAGATAGCCGCAAGAGCAAGGCCTCTGTGCTCCAGCTGGGTTCAGAGGTGAAACTCAGATTCGAGGTTGCGAGATTTGTGCTGAGGAAGAAGCAGCCTGGACCCTGGTTCCAGCCTAGCTGTGTGGCCTCCCTGCATGGAGCCTGTAGTCCCCCAGTGGGTGGCAGGCAGATGGCCTTGTGCACTGGAAGGGAATCCTAGTGCCTGTTCCTCTCCTCCCCAGCTGCTGCTGATGGAACGCAAATTGCAAGAAGTTCACCCGCTGCTGACCCTCTGTGGACAGATTGTCGAGAACTGGCAGGGGAACCCCATCCAGAAGGAGTCTCTTCGCGTCTTCTTCCTGGTGCTCCAGGTGACACACTACCTGGATGCCGGGCAGGTGCGTAATGCCTCCCACAGAAGGACTGCTGGGGAGCAGGCAGGCAGACCAAGAAATCTCCTCTATCATCGCCTTTTGTCCCTGACCACAAAGTGCATCTTATTCAGGGCTTAGCTCCCCCCCATACCCCGTCATGCTCTGGCACAAGTGCTGTTCCCCTGCAGGCAGAGGGGCCTCTGAGAGTAGCCTGGCCTCATGGAGGGAGTTGTCTTGGCCTCACATATTCACAAGGTGTGAACAGTCAGGTTTCTAAGGGCATCTGGGGATCCATGTGAGTAAACCATTATGATTCTTGTAAGGTGCCTAAGACAGCACGTGCTCAAGCAGTATCTGTCCACCACCCCCAGCTGATGAGAGCTTTGTGGGGTTCAAGTAGGGACTCACAGGATCAGCTGTGTCGGAGACTCCATAATCCCCGTGTGGCTGAGAAGTAGCTATATTCTATGTGGTGAATGTCTCAGCCTTTGGGGGATGCTGCCCCATCCACCTCACCCTGCCCCGTCCCAGTGACCGACCACAGACTGGGCCCCTTGGGTGCTAGGAGGCCGTAGATGGAGCCCCAGAAAGTGCCAGGCAGGCCTTTCATTAGTAAGGGGCTGCCTACGTTCCCCCACCTGTGACCACCTTTATTTCTTGGGCCAAGCGCTTGCTCAATACATAGGAACACAAAGCAGACTCATAGGGTGCTGACTGCTGTGGAGATGTCCTATGGGGCCTTGGGACAGGGCTTTCCAGTACCCAGGGGCTAGTTAATATGAGCCACAGCACCTGCAGGACTCTGGGACCAGGAGGCAACTTCCCACCCTTGATGATGACTGCTAGCTGCCCTAGCCCTGTCCTGCCCTCTCAGGGTCACTTCTGGAAGGAGGAAATGTGGCTCATGGAGGATCTTTGGACAGGCCTCTCCCAAGCCTTGGTGTTGGGCCCAGCACTAGGCAGTGGCTGAGTCTCAGTCCCACAGATGTCCCACCTGACTCTGCTCCCACACCCTGAGAGCCTGCTGCCCCATCTAGGGGCGGGCTTCCTGCAGGTGGTAGACATGGGGAAAGCTCCTAGGGAAGAAGGGGCTGGTGAGTTGGCATCTGGTGGGAGTGGGCGTGCACTCAGGTGAGTGGTGCCGCCCACCTACTATAGGTGAAGAGCGTGAAGCCATGCCTGAAGCAGCTGCAGCAGTGCATCCAGACCATCTCCACGCTGCACGATGATGAGATCCTACCCAGCAACCCTGCTGACCTCTTCCACTGGCTGCCCAAGGAGCACATGTGCGTGCTCGTCTACCTGGTCAGTCCCTGGGGCCAAGGCCGGGGGCCAGGCAGGTGAGGAGAGGGCCCTGGTGACCACCGCCGTCTGGTCTTGTCGCCAGGTGACCGTGATGCACTCCATGCAGGCCGGCTACCTAGAGAAGGCGCAGAAGTACACAGACAAGGCCCTCATGCAGCTGGAGAAGCTCAAGAGTAAGTTGGGCTGAGTAGGTCGCCTGGCCACAGCTCCCCCTGGTGGGAAGTCTGACCACGACCTCTGCTGGGCCTGAGGAACTCTGAAAGACTACAGTTCCAAGTGGTCCCTATGGATTTTGTTACCTCAGTTGGCAGATGGGGATGATCTAGGTTTAGGGCAGAGCAGGCCATGCCTAGGCTTGACCCTTGATCCGTGGCCAGGGGTCTTATGCCATCTGTCACCCTCACTACATAAGATGGCTTTGACTGCAGTATCCCACCAGGGCCTGTAGAAGATGACAGTTGAAACAGGTCATAGCTCCTATTATCCGCGTTGTGACATTGATCGTGCTCAGAGTGAGGCCAGGATTGAAACTCGGCTCTTGCTGACTGACAGCTGATGCCAAGGTTGTGGTTTCTTCCTGGACTTTTGACTAATTCATCCTGTGGGACCAAGCACCTTTGATTAGCAGGAACACAGAGCTCTGGTTCAGTGTCTCTCTTACTGCTTACCCACTCTCTATGTCCTCGTCAGTGCTGCTTGGGGAGGAGCCATTGGCCAGAAAACCGGAGCCCTCAGGGATCACAGTTTATTCCGTCAGCACAGCCCTTTCCCAGTTATAGCCAAACTGGGAAAGGGCTGTGCTCTCCGGTTCCAGTGTAAGGACAGCACTTGGGGCAACCAGAAACTGGGTCCTCCTCACTGCTGCCTGAGGCTGTCACATAGTCTCACTCTCCTGGGCAGTGTCAGCATTTTTAGAACCCACCATGTCCGGAGTGATCTTGAGTATGAGGCTGGGTCATGATGGATGAGGGTAGAAAACAAGTCCCTCCAGGGATTTCTTACTCTTAAAACACTCCGGTCACCAGAACCTGCTATGAACCTGTCTCTCCACCTAGACAGGGAGATGAACCCATCACTCAGTGGTGTAGCAGGCATGAGTGAAGTGATGGGCTGAATGCTGGGCTGGTGCTCAGCAGAGCGAGTAGGCTCAGACCTGGTAGCTGAGGGGTCGGTGTGGTGGTTGGCCTCTCCTCAGCTTCTCCAGCTGCCCAGAATGCTCACTCCCCTCTCGCCCTTAGTGCTCGACTGCAGCCCCATCCTGTCCTCCTTCCAAGTGATCCTGCTTGAGCACATCATAATGTGCAGGCTTGTCACGGGACACAAGGCCACCGCGCTGCAGGAGGTGAGGCCACTGGGGGCCACGCACACACAGGGTGGGAGGGCAGGAGAGCAGGTGGTTGAAGTTTGCGAGGTCTCAGGAGTTGCCACGTGTGCATCGGCAGGACATCCACCCGAGTTATTCCATGGTAACTTAGAAGTTTGTGATCCTGCATGGGCACAGTTGATCAGACAACGAGATAGAGAAGTCAGCGGTCCTTTCTCTAAAAGCCTGTGTGTCCAAGGAATATGGGGTCTGGAACCTTGGGGTCCCCTGATGGCAATCCCCTCCCTGCCCCATGTATCCCCTGCTGCCCACCTTCTTGAGAGAGCACAGGGCCTTAAGCAGGGCAAAGGTGCTGATGGCCAAGACATGTTGGAAAGGGAGGAGAAAGCAGGTCACGGACAAAGGTCACTGTCCTCAAGGAGATCAGGGCTACTGTTTGCCCTCACAATGGGCATATCCGTTGGAACTTTGTGCCCAAGTTAGGACAGGCAGGATATAGACACTAGGTCCCAGGTTGTAGGTCTTGTGACATTAGGCATAC